CTATGTATGTAGTCCCCACTCTATGTAGTGATTTAGGGGTTAGGGCAGATGTTCAGATACAGCCTTAGAGTTCAAATTTCATAAAATCAGTATATTAGGATCTATGATAAAACATTTTAATTGTTGTTTTTTTCTTATTATTTTAAATAATCTTATTCAATCTACACATTTGCCCTCTTATATCAAGGGGTGAATACTCTAACTTCAAGAAAAATTGGCCTGCTTATATCTAAATGTTTGCGCTGAATGTTTTCAGTACAGGGGCCAGCTGTACTAGGGCACTGGCCCCTGTTGGCCCCGGTCTAAAACCACCCATTGGTAAATGTCCTTGCAAAGAAAGAATCTTATTATAACAGTTTATAAACTTTTGTTTATAAAAACTGGAAAGCAAAGATTCTTGTTGAGGATTGATGAGCAGGTTTTTAGATTGAAAATGATAGACATTTAAATGTCACTCAATAAATCTGAAGTTTCGTAGTATATATACATTTAACGGTTAATCGCTAGCTTTTCATGGCATTTATACAGTGCTCATAAATTACTTATAACAGCATACACTCAATGTTCCCTTATACTATTTAAAGGCTAATTCAGTGCTAAAGTAAGTATAATTCCCATTTTACCATCAATAAAGAGGTTTAAAAGTAGGTACATATAGGGTGCAGGGCTGGATGTATCCATTTTTAATGCAGTTCTATCATGATAATGATAAAAGTGAAGTTGAAAGGAGCGATCAATTAATAATAACAATAATTATTATTCCTCATAGTCTTTCTCAGGTCATTGTATAGCTATGATAAGATAATTGAACTGTATTGATCTCACATTGGAGAAATTTACCTCTGCATTTAACCCATCCTTTAGGGGAGCAGTGGGCTGCCATCGCGGGGCGCCCCAGGCAGCAGTATGGGGTCAACGGCAGTCTATGGGAATGGGGCTCAAACTCAGAACCTCAGGATTCCAAGCTCTATGTCCTAACCACTAGGCCACCACATAAGCAATAATAGCTTTACAAATACTGCTGCTGAAAAACGATACACATTTCAAATAATACACCAGGTACATACAGAAGTGGGATTTATATCACAAAATATCCCACAGTGATCACCTTTAATAATGTTTCTGGAATTCCTGCATCCTGTCTGGAGTTTTAAAGTTTTTACATTTTATTTTTTCTCATCATTCAGGTGATAAATCGGAAATTTTCATTATGGGAAATTTATTACAATAACGATTAACAAAACCATACAGTCCTAGGTTGTCACTCTGTCAGTGTCCCATTGTGGGACAATGAAGGGATTTTCTATTCTACTCTATTCTATCCTATCCTATTCTTAAAGTACACATCAAGAGCGTGAATTAAGAGAGGATGTAAAGCGCATATTGGAGATATTCTAAAGTTTTAATAACTAGCTCAGATCTTTATCCTCAAATTTTAAGGATAGCTAAAAAAAACAGACTCAAAACACAGATAAAGTGCAGCGATTAAGCTTTCGTCTGCAAGTATTTAATTCCTTTTGTATATATATCTATATATATAGATATATATATAGATATATATATATAGATAGATAGATAAACATACATATAAACCTCATATATATAATCCTTTTGTGTGTGTGTATTTATACATATATATGCATATAAACCTCATTTCATCCCTTTTGTGTATGCAAGAAGGTTATATGTGATGTTTATATATATATATATATATATATATATTTATACATACATGTCACAGGTGTGAATGGGTGCTTTCCTTTGTGCAATCTGTTGCTGCACACTTGGTCAGTGGTTGCTGTGGACTGCCTCTACCTCTTGCTGACCTACTCAAACCAACTTTATCCTACAGAGGGGGGAGGCGGGGGTGGGACGGTTGAAATTGCTCCTGATCCCTTCTCGCTGTTGCTGCCAAAGCGGATATTTTCTTGATGGGGTTACATTCAACCATTACACGTACCCCTTTGCTCAATGAGAGAGAGAGAAAAAAAACCTGTCACAAAATGGCGGAGACGCACGTTAGCAGACCCCATTTTGAGGAATTGACACAAGACAGCGGTGAAAAAAGCGCGTGTCGGTTTTTTGTGTGCGGTTTGGAAAACGGTGCTGCTTTTTTCGCCTTTTAAGCGCCGCGCGCCGGAGTTCACCTCGCGCCTCTTTGTGCTCCCCCACTCTGCCATCCCATTTCTGGGCTAACGGATACGCTCACGCGCTGGCTAGCTAGCTAGCACTGTGAATGTTAGCTAAAAAACTAACCACCGCGGTGATATCCGTGTTAATCCAATTACTCGTTGGAACCTCACACCAAGGAGAAGGATATAATCTGTGCTTTTATTATCAGCAAATAAAAGCAGACACCACCACTATAGGAAGAGACCGCACTTGTTAGCTAATCGCATTTAAGCTAGCTCAGCTAGCGAGTTACATTCCAACCTCTTAACATCATGGTGTTACTCGAATATTTTTAAAACATTTTGTCGGGGATTCAGATGTTTTTCCATCTTTTAAATGCTTCACATTTTACACTGACAAAAAGTATCGCTAAGAGAACTGTTAGCATGTTTGAAGTGAACGTTAAATCCTCCCTAGATTACCCGGAGAGTTAACTGCTATTATTTGTTTTCAGCTGTGCAGCAATTATTACTCTTGTGTTATAATATTATATTTACAATATTATTGGACGTTATCGTGTTATAGCTCGTGATCATTGCGCAAAGCTGGTCCTAAATATACTTATTGTACGAAACAAAACAAGTTTCTATTATCCTGCTTGAGTAAAAGGCTAGATCTGTTTTAAATAAATACATTTAATAAACTGTGCTTTAAAATCCAAGATAAAAATGACCTTTATCTGGATTGGCACATGTTATTTTCTGTGAAACGTGACTGCCGTTTTGGGATTTAGATCACCAGCTCTGTATAATATATATGTTTTTTATTTAAGGCAAGCCTTGACTAAATTATTCTTAACTATTTACACATTTAAAGTTTGTTTTTATGCAACTCATCATTTCTTTTTTCAAAACTTGAGATCTAGATACACACTGATTGTAGGACAACAGATTAATTAATTTTGCTCTGTTAAAGCGAAGAATTGTGAAACTTTTCTGTGAAAACATCTACAGTGGTGTTTCTGTAATAAAATAATACTAACTGATGTTTGCTATCTAATCAAATCTTGACTAAATGTGTCCAAGCAGGTATAAAGATTCCGACTTATATATTAAAAACATGGTTTATCACATATTTTTAACTACTAAAAATGATATTTAATTCCTTTGGATTTGTCAAACCTCTGGTTTCTTTTCTACAATAGAATATGGTTTAACCACTTGTGCTTTTTAAATGCAAATAAATAAATAAATACAAATTTAGAATTGAATATCCCTTTATTGTCCAACAGTGGGGAAATTCTGGTGTTTACAGCAGCAAAACATATATCAAAAATCTATCCATCTATCTATCTATCTATATATATATATATATATATAACATTATCCCAAAGCAGGTAAAGTATTACAAGGGAAATACCGGCTAACTAGTAGGGAAAGCAACAGGTGGGGAAGGGGAGTAAGCGTGAAAATATAACTATATTATTTTTTGTTTGTTTCAATTAAATAGCTTAATGTTTCTCCATATATATAGTAACTCCTCAGACAGTTATGCCATCACCCTGGAGATTCTCATTTGATGTGACAGTCTGGCCTCTGGTGGCATATGGTGCCAATGGAGGGAGTATAAACCCAAGCTGCCCCCAAACAGCCAAACAAAAAGTTCCCAGTGGGACACTAAACGCATGTAACGTCCTTCGACCTCCCCTGCTTCCTTCTCTCTCACTCCACAGCTTCAACTTTCTGAAGCCATCGCTGCAGGGAGGCCCATCCGCCAGTAAACAGCTCCATCTTGTGGCCATCTGGTGTAATAGCACAGATTCGCACTGGAACACGTTGTACTTGGACAGATGAGTTGGGAGATTTCTAAACTTGATACTGACACGGCAGGAGTGCATGCTGGGAATCTGGAGGAGGAGGCAGCAGGTGGTGGAGAGGGATCCTCACACAGATGAAAGTTAATCTGTGGACTACTTTGTTCACTCCTATGTGAACTAACCTTTCATAGATATACTAAAAAGAAAAAGTCACCTCTGCCTTGCAGCCCTTGTTTGCAGTGAATATAAAATGGAAAACCTGCTAATCAAAATAAATATTTTAAAAATCCTGCAGCATATTTTCATAGAACCCAAGCTGTATTTATCTTATCCAGTAGGGGGCGCTTGTGTTTAATTTTCACCATTAATTAAAACTATTAATTTTTCATTTACATGCTTAATTCCTCCTTATTTTTCAGTAAATAAATGAACAAATACACTTTTTACTGCAGCAGCAGCATCTTACCAGAAATTTAAGAGAAACTGTCCCTTTATTTAAGGTGTATTTACTCAATTTGGGAGTTTTTAAATTCTATTAATCCACATGAGCTGTTTTAAATGAAGCCATTTACAATTATTTTCAAATGAATTAAAATGCAGTTTATTTTATGAATCAGAGAGTCTGTCTCTAAATATGATGTGATACAAAAATATATTCCAGGCTTTAACATAGGAAAAAATAGGGGCGTGTGTTCTGATATCAAAAAGTCCAGAAAAAATTGCCCTAACTTGCCCACATCTGTAATGAAATGAAACCGCAGTAAAGCAATCATAAAGCGCATTGTCTTTATTGCTTTCTTTATTTCTGGTTTTATATGACATGTTTACTGCTGTATATTTACGAAAACAAGCTGTTTATTTATAGGTTTATTTGGTGTAACTGTTTACATTTGAAATCAAGGTTACAGTTTTTTTTTAATAGATGTTGAAGAAGAGTTTTGCACGTTAATCGGTTCAAAATGTTGAAAACAGAATAACAAGCGGAATTCATTTGTATAAACACAGAAGTACTGAACAGTAACTTAAAAAACAAAAACATACATATACATATATATGTATGTATATGTATCTGCTATTCATCTCGTTTCCTTTCCTTAAGTATTCCTGCCTCTGAATACAGCTTCATCTGAAAACAAAAACAATGTATTACTATAAGTATTTGAACAGATAGATAGATAGATAGATAGATAGATATAGATAGATAGATAGATGTATAGATAGATAGAAATGTCACCTTTGACTTTTGATTGGTTTGCTTCTCCTCATCATACTTCTTTTCTGCTGTTTCTCTCATCTCAGTTTGTCTCTTCTTATTCGCATCACTGTTCTCTTTTTGTTCATTTATTTCTTTCAGCAGTTCCTGCTTCTCATTTTCCAGAACTCTAATCTACAAATGTGATACAAAACACACACACACAAAAAATCACAGTAGGAACTCCAGAGTCATCTGCTGCTTCTGGAAAGAACTGCTGCTTTCTGCTTACAATGTAATATCACAGTTTAGGCTATACATTGTTAACACCAGGCATCCCCAAACTCGGTCCTTAAGGCCCCCTGTCCTGCAGGTTTTAGAAGTTTCCCTGCTTTAGCACAGCTGATTATAATGATTGCAGTAGACCAAAAGCCTGTTAATCAGCTTTAAATTACAATCAGCTGTGCTGGAGCAAGGAAACCTCTAAAACCTGCAGGACAGGGGGCCTTGAGGACCGAGTTTGGGGATGCCTGGTTAACACGATTCAATCTTGTTTCTTATTCAATTTTTAATCACAAATGATGATTAAATCGACCCTTACCCGTTCTTGTAAATCCTCTTTTCTCATGACATGCCTGATGCCATGAGAGAGGGTGTTTTCGTACAGCTTCTGGTGGGCTGCCATGCTCATTCTGATCTCATCTCTGAGTCGCAGCAGAAGCAGACCCCTCTCCTCACAGAGGACGCTTTCCTGCCTGATTAATTCATCTAAGAAATAAATGCGCTGTTGAGGTTACAGGTGAACACATTTTAAATGAAGTATGAAATTTTAAATCCTGCTATGTAGAAAATCCCCTTCTTAGAGGTGTCAGGTTTGATTTTTTTTACATAAAATCATAATCTGAACACATTTTATAAATTTGGACTTATTTGGAGCAAGGATTAAACAACAACATAGTTTTCCTTCCTAAAAATCTTTAATAATAAAAAAAACTAAAGGTTAATATTGCAGGTCAGAGTGGCAGAGCAGTCATATATATTTGTATTTATTCTCTAGCTTCTGTTAGATCATGTTGGATTTTGACCACCGTTCTTGGCAGATAATGTTAACTAATTTATAGTTTGTTTATATCTGTAAAATATAAAATATTTAATCAAAACCTTTAACAATTCATCTAAGGATAGGGATTCATATATCGTCCAGGTTACAGGTGAATCGGGTTTATTTAAAAGGCAGCTTTAACTTGTGTTTGCATTAAAGGATCTAATTAGGTCAGTCTTTTAACCATATATTTACGAGGGGAAATCTTTGAATTTAGTTATATTTTCCTGTTTTTTGAGCTGTATAGCAGCGCTGCCTTGACAGATATGTTGGAATTTAAAATTTTAAAAGCTCTTTGTTATGTTAAATATCTGTATCACCATCATGGCACAGTCTCCTTTTGTAATAAATCTTTTCTCCAGAGATCATTTGATTTTTCCATGTGAAAAACTGCAAGTTTCATTCACCCTCAAGTGAACAGACATATTTTACAAAAGTGAAACCCTTAGCGTATAATATAATATAATATGTTAGGTTAAATCTGGCAATTTAACCTAACATATTAAAAATATCCATCCTAAGAAAATCTTGTTATCTGCCTGGGCGATTGGTCAAATATCCAGAATAAGGTAAAAAAGCTTTGATGACTTTAAAAAAACATGTAATTCAGCATCAACTTACTAAACAGACTTTATCACTTTAGATTTTTAAACTTTTATCATCTGCTTTTCACTCATAGGACAGAAACATTTTCAATAAATTCTAGTTTTATATCTTAGTTCTTTTTATCTAAATTGAAGTGGCTGTTTAATGATTCCACCACTGAACATAGAGCTCCGGCTGCACAAGTAAAAGGGCCTAAATGAATAGAATAATCATGGCAATAACTATTGTAGCTGTGCAAAACCCTCAGTGAAATTATATAATGAGAAATTGAATGTCTTTACCAAAACACTGAGAATAAAGCTCTCTGCGGATGGGACAGATGCCTGCGTGTCGGGCCTGTTCCTGCTCCAGCTTCATATCCAGCTGTTCCTGCAGCTGGAGGAGATCTGCTCTGGTAGAAGGTGCACTGGATACCTTCTGCACCCACACTTTGTTTCCTTTTGACCATTCCCTGCAACATATGATAGTTAGGAAGTCGGAACTAAATGAAAGAGTTTGCTAAATAAGAGCAGAGGTACTTTGGTGGATGGATGGCATCCAGAATCTCTTTCTTCACGGTGGGACCTTCAGCGGCTGCATATTTGGATTCAGGAAGCGATGGATTTTGTGTGAAGCGGGCCCACTGCAGGAACGTGATAAGATGAAACATTAGTATGGCTAATAGGTTGATCCTAAATCAACTTTGTGTTATTTATTTAAATTATTTAGACAAAGTCTCCAACTCTTAAGTTTTTGCTGAGATTTTGAAATGAAATCTCATATGAATGAGGTTTTTAAAGGAGATATACTCATAAAGTCAGGTTTATGGACTGTTTTTTAATGCTAAATCTATATAAATTAAAAATACTAGAACTTATATATATATATATATATATTTTATTACAATTAATGTGAATTTATTAATACTCATATGCACACCTAAGTGCAGCTTAAAAATGCCAATTAACCTAAAAAAAACATAAAATAATTGAAATATATCCATATATATGCTTGAGTATGATTATTTTAAAATTCTAATTATGCCATCTGATGATACTGAAATTTATTTTATTGCATCTATAAAGCTTTTCAGTGTTTGGATTTATGTTCCATTTTTTTTCTTGCCTATTAGTACCGACCGTCTCGGCTGTTACTCACCTTTTGAGATTTGGAGCTCTTTACCAAAACTGAAATATCGAATTTAAGAAGCGAATCAGATGATGAATTCATTTTTACACTTCCTTTTTTTATGTAAGAAAGAAAAAAATGTTAAGCCTGTACAAATAAAAATGTCCTTGGTTTAAAGTTGTTGCAGTTAATGTTGTCTCTGTAATGTTGTCATGGCAACCTTCTTTTCTAGCAGTTATATATTTTTGAAATTCGCTGGGATAAATCTGACAGAACAATTATATGTCAGTTTGTTACATTACTTTCAGTTAAAAAATGTCAATCAGACTGTATTTTTTAAGATAGAGAAATTGGATTTAAAAAAAATTATTAATTAATTTATCTTTGTAAAAAGATTCAGGCTAATTTCACCCTAATTAACCCTAATATATTAAATACTTTATTGTAATTTACTTTCATGTTTCTCTTTGTATTAATTTGACATCTTTCAGTCAATAAAAAGCTTACTTTGATCACTTTTAAAACATGAAATATACATTTTATTTTAAATTTTCTGGATACATTTTTATGCTGAACCATATTTTGGTTGTTTAAAAAAAAAAAAAAAACATCATGTGATTCCAAAAATTGGACCATCAGGAGTTAGAAAAGAGCGCTCTAAAACCTTTCAGCAATTATAATAAACTGAAAAGTTCCTCTTTTATGAACCTTTCCAGTTCATAAAAGAGGAAGTTGTCTTAGTTCTCTTAGGAAGGAAAGGGAGTTTTTGAGGACCAGAATGCTCACATTCTGGATAAGGAAAATAGGTGGTTTGAGAGGGGTGTGAAGGAAGACATCTATGTTAAGAGAGAAAAACAACTTTAAACAGAGGTGGTGGACTCAGATTCCAGCTTCCAAAAACTTGCAATTCAGTTATTGAGTTGATTCCTTCCAGGTATCACCACACCCCCCACCCCATCACAGACGAACAAAGTACCTCCTCTCTTCAGCCAGGTGAACAATCCCCCCCTTTAACGACCGACCTTCAGAATCATAGACAGGTTTCAGATATTACAGGCTAACGTTAGAAGCAAATTACCCGCTCGCCAGTTTCAATTTGCATGTTTCCAAGCAATACAACTCCTTGTCTATATAAAGACTCAAACTCAATGCGAATCCAGACATTTGAATTGAGAAAGCTTCCTGGACGGGAAGCGAAACATCTTCAAACCTTGGAAATCAAGTCCAGTGGATTGTTTATTGACTTTGACGTAATTAATCATTATAAAAAAAATAGTCTCAGATTTACATTTCCTGACAGGCAGGACAAAAATAAAACAAAACATAAAATGAAAGAAAGTAATACAGAGCTGTAAAAGGGGGACAATAATCATAAGAAAAATTGCTCAGAAAGGAAAAAAATGTTTGGACTTTAAGTCTTATAAGTTTTGAAGAGTTTACATGTTAAAGTCACTTTTAAAATAAAAGCGAGACATTTTTTTGTATTTTGTTCCTTCTGATAAAAATGGATCCAAACTTATAATAACACAGGCACAGGGTTTATCATCTTTTTAGTTTAGCTTTTTTTTAGTATTCCGTAAAAGTTTAAAAAACAATTCACTGGACTTGGTTTCCAAGATTTGAAGATGTTTCGCCACCTCTCCAGGAAGCTTTCTCAATTCGCTTTTTTTAGTAACACTTTTAAAAAGTTTTTTTAATTAAAAAAGATAATGATGGAAACCTGCCCAATAAGATAACAAACCTTTAATAACTTCTGGTTATTAGTTTAGGTGTTAATTAAAACAAAACAATTTAAGATGTTTAATAGTAAATGGATAGTGATTTAGTTAATAAATGGATATGTTAGAAAATGTAATACAAATGAATAAATCATAGAGATAGAAGGAGGATTTAGTTAATTAAATTAAGAATAAAATATAAAAGTGTAGGATATTGTTAATAATAAATACGATTTATTTAAAATAAAGACAGAGGATGATTATTATACTTTGGATATAACAGTAAAGCAGGTAAGTAGATTGGCTACAATACTGTTATTTTAAAATATTATATCTGGAATAATGAAGACATTAAATACAAAAATAAGACAATATTTTAGAAAATGGTTTTATAGGGGAATATTACTTGTAAGCCAATTATTAAATCCAAATGCTCATTTATTGTCTTATTCTGACTTTATGTCACTTTTCCAATTTCCTATTACCCCTAAAGGATATGCTGTTGTGTTTGACGCAATTCCCAGTGGCTCATTAAAGCTTTTATCATCTTTACCCACACTTCAAATTTACTCAGGGCCAAGTTTTGATCCAAACTTCATTAATATTTATTATGATTGTCCTTTTAAAAGTAAGAAAACAACGGACAAAAGGTTAAGAAATATTCTATTACGAGATGTTGGACCAATATTTTATTGGAAGTGGACTTGGTTGTTCCTTAAAAGAATACTTAATAAACAATAAAGTAAGAGAAATTTCTTATAAAATTATTCATAATGTTTATCCTGTTAAAGCATTTTTGATAAAAAAAATATAAATGTGTATTGTTTGTAAAAATAATGAAGAAAAGCTTATTCATCTTTTTTGGGATTGTAATTATACCAAAAAAATCTTAACATTACTTTAAAAGCTAAAGATATATTGTTTGGGATGGAGAAATGTGAACTTATCAAAACAGAACTTTTATATCTTATAGATTTGTTTTATTATTTTTGGTAAATTTCCACACCTCCAAATATTTACAACAAAAAACTAATTTCCAATCTATATAGAATCCTTAAAATGTAGTTCAAATACTAAAACCATGCTACCGTAATTAAAACTGCCCTTAAATAATTATTATAACCCTCAAGCTTAGATTACATTTGATTTTGACATTTTAAAATAATAGTTTTGTTCTGTAAAGCCCTTTGTTGTTGTATAAGTTTGTAATTGTTAATGTTCTATATTGTTCATGTATGTTCTTTTTTGCAATATAAAAAAAGAAATACTGTCATTTTGTTCCACAACACCTACCAGTAGGTGGCGGTAATGCGCCTTCAAGTTGTTTGCCAACCGCCATCAAACTTCACAAAGACAAAGAAGAAGAAGAAGAAGAAGACGCGTCTTTTTGCGTCGTTTCCGCTTCTCAAAAATGGCGTCCTCCATGCCTAAAGACGGCATGAGTGGAAGCCAAACAGCTAAAAAAAACTCAAAAAACAAAATGCAAGGTAAGTTCTGAATCCTACCGAGTCAGAGACTATTAACTGCTACCCGGAAATAGGGAGATATTTTTTTTTAATAACCGTCTATAAAGATTTCACTAACATGTCGCGTTCATTAATAAAGTAGATCAAACATACATTTCCTTTCTAGATTTAAAGACGATTTTTTTAAAAAATAGCATGATTTAAGATACTTCAACACTGAATTTGACGATATTAATGTATTTTGTGGAGAAAGACAACTTAATAAACATAGATATTTGTTTATTAAATCAAATGAATATGGCTGCAATTATTTTTTTAATGTAACTCTTGATCGTCTTGAATCAGTCTGCCTGTCCTTCCTCAGACATTTATTCATCCCTCACTGGATAATCTGTAAACACAGACCAGCAGCTACATGAACCAACAGCTGATCCACATTTAAAGTCACGTTAAATCTCTCTTCCTCTGATGCTCAGTTTGAACTTCAGTTGCCTTTTTTACTTTTAGACCTGAACAAAGGAAGGCATATGGAATCAGATGTTTTTTCTGTTTTAAAAAAAAAGTATTAATAGTTTTATTATTTTTTATATAAAAAAACAGTGATAGTGGGATGAGGATCAGCACCTCTGAAGCCATTTTTTTTCCACTGGAGAAAGGTAGACTCTCCTCTTCAGGTCGGTGGAGAGTCCTTGTCTCAAGTGTAGGAGTTCAGGTATCTCAGGGTCATGTTCACTAGTAAGGGACACATCATAATGGCATCAGCAGTGATGCAGTCGCTGTATCGCAGGGTGGCTGGGTGCACCCTTCTAGATTGGGCTCAGAGCTCAGTTACCAGGACCGACTTTAGCTTGTCTAGCTTAGTCTGCTGCCTCTGCGACCCGGCCCCGGATAAAGCAGAAGAAAAAGAATGAATGGATGGTGTTCTTTGTTTACTGATTGTGTTATCTTTTATTTTTTTGCCTTGCAGTGGACGAATCTGAGCTCCTGACTGTTCCTGATGGGTGGAAGGAGCCGGCGTTCACTCGAGATGACAATCCTCGGGGGCTGCTGGAGGAGAGCAGCTTCGCCACGCTGTTCCCTAAATACAGGGAAGCTTATCTAAAGGAGTGCTGGCCGCTGGTGGAGAACGCTTTAGGAGAGGCAGTACGTACACACAGTCTACATCCATAAACCGCAATTCAAGTCGATGGAGACACCTGATGTTAAAGTTATATAAAACAATCTGATAGTTTTAATTTAAACTGTTCATCCTAAGAAAGGGATTTCTGCAATTACCCTCCTGTAACATATAAACATGAATATATTAGCTCCCTGTAGCAATTTCAGTGAAACATTTGCTTTGTCAAGCAGGTAAACTG